CCCCAAAACCCCAAAACCCCAAAACCCCAAAACCCCTGCCTTCACCTAAATGTAGATTCATCGGTCAAATCTTAATTAAAAATATAAAAATGGAGACGACGCCAAAGGAAGACTATGAAACTGTAAGAAAGAGATATGAAGATGCTGGCCAAGACCACATCTTCAAGTATTATGAAGAGTACACTGAAGAAGAGAAGGAAGAGTTCCTAGATCAGCTCAGGGACATCGACCTTCAAGAGACCGAAAGATTGTACAAAGATGTTTGCTTAGTCGACCATAAAGAGGATTCTAAGGATGAAGAGATCAACCCTCTTCCAAGAGAATCAGTTCATACCTTCAGTAAGCTAGACGAAGAGACTCAGGGAAAATGGAGACTCACTGGAGCTCAGCAGATCAAGAACGGAAAAATCGCCTTAATGCTCCTTGCTGGTGGAATGGGGTCAAGACTTGGATCCGATAAACCAAAAGGAATGTATGATATTGGACTACCAAGCGGAAAAAGCTTGTTCCAAATAATTGCTGAGAGGTTCAAAAGAGCTCAAGAGTATTCAGCACTCCTTTGCCAAATGGCTGGTGAGAACTGCGCTCCAAGATATAATTGTCACTTCTATGTCATGACTAGTGGGCTTAATGACAAGGTCACAAGAGATTTCTTCAGAGAGAACGATTATTTCGGTATTCCAGAAGACAAGGTATTATTCTTTAAACAAGCTATGCTTCCAACACTCTCCTTTGAAGGAAAGCTGCAGTTCGAGACTAGAAAGAAGGTATCTGCAGGTCCAAACGGAAATGGAGCTCTCTTTGAAGCATTCAGATCTTGCAAAGAGCTTCAAGATAGCGTAAAAGATAATGGAGTTGAATTTATTCACCTTGTTGGAGTTGATAATGCTCTTAACAAGTTCATGGATCCTCTCCAAGTTGGAATGACTTATGAGAACAATTTGAAGGGATGCTCCAAATTTATCAAAAAGAAGTATCCAACTGAGTCACTTGGACTCTTCGTAAAGAAAGGTGAAGCTATCGAAATCATCGAATATACTGAGTTAGGTGAAGATATGGCCACAGAGACATATGAAGATGGAGCCCTCAAGTTCGATCAAGGAAATATGGTTAACTTCTTGATTAGTGTAGAGACTTTGGAGAGCCTGGTCTTTGGAAAAGCAGAGATCCTCAACTCTCTCTATCATCGTGCGATAAAGAAGATCCCAGAATATGTAGAAGATAGAGATGTTACTGAGAAGCCATCCAAGGAAAATGGTTATAAACTTGAGCTCTTTGTACATTCTTTCCTCTCTTATGTAGAAGGTGCTTTCGAGATGATCGAGGGAATTAGAGAAGAAGAATTTGCCCCAGTTAAAAACAAGGAAGGAGAGCCAAAAGATTCACCAACTACTGCCAGAGAGTTAATATCCAAGCTTCATGCTTCCTGGATCAAGAAACAATTCCCTGATGTTGAATTCAAAGAAGAGCCTTCTGACAGTTTCGTGGTAGAGCTAGACTTTTCAAAGACATATGAAGGAGAGTTCCTGACCAAAGAGATGATCCCAGAGGGAGTACTAAAGGAATAGCACTATTGCTAAAATCTAATTCTTGCTAAGCGTCAATCCTAAAACCAATTTAATTTTGCTCTGTTAACCCCTTTTCACTATCAATCCCTAAGGTTTGACAATAAATGAAATTTTGCGAACTACCTTTCTAGTAAGCAACATTTAGTTTAACTCATGAAGGCTTAGCCTGAGGGCTAAAAATGATAGAAAATGGATTATCACCAATTCATCAATATTTAAACCTCCTTCAGGGGTTTTGGGGTTTTGGGGTTTTGGGGTTTTGGGG